TTATTCTCTATTTATTCGCATTTTCCTATTTCTCATCCTCCTTCTGGCCTCACCATCCTCATTTCCCTGATGATTCTCTTTTCCCTCAGACACAGCCTTCTTCTGTACCGCTTCTATCGGCCTACAGAATTGCTCACTCGACACGCCTCCCCGTCTTCATCTCCCTTCTCGCAAATATCACTTCTGTCCCAAGCATTTGCATCCTCCACTTGATCACTTTCCTCCTCATCCTACACATCATCAGCCTCACCACCGCAATCATCCCCATCAATCACATCATTCACATAATCACACCTACTATTCTCAACACCATCAAAATGATTAGAATAGGCCCCATTCAACTGACTTCTTGAACATGCACACATTTTTCTGTCGCCAGAGCCCAACTCGAATGCGCTCAGATTGTCGCAGCAACTACTCAAGGCAGCTTGAGTAGTATCTGATTAAGGATCCAACAAATTCAAGCACGGACACAACCTTTCTTCTGGTCGAGCTCGTCAAAACGAGGTCAACAAACTATCAAACAAACTTGAATAATACGAATGTCGACTTGAGGTTGTGGCGCAGCAATTAAACAGGTTGTGCTCCAACGTTTGGTAAAACGAAATGCGACATGCAGAGACAAACAAGCATGAATAAAACGTGTGTTCAGATGACTTTCCCGAGATAATCTTTTTCGTGAAATCTTTCCTTTTTCATGGAAGTACATCAAAAAGATATTCGAGCCTTAATCCCACCAGAAGACGCCGGCGGATTTGCGTTTTTCAGGAGCCGTGTTTAACTTCAATACGACCCTCAGGTTGACTCGGTCTACGACACATCCTCCCTCGTCTCGGTTTGAAACAGGCTGACTTTACGTTCATCAACTGACGCACAGCATCACAGCTGGGACCCAATGTTTGTAAAAAAAATCTCAGATTAACACCAAGTCAAGAAGAGTGGCAAGCTTTTTTTAATATGATATTTATTAACATTGCGAGAGGAATTCAGCTAAAGATGGATATACACAGGTCTGGTACTCTAGTGTGTGTGTGTGCGTGTGTGTGTGTGTGTGTGT